GGGTGGGTGGGTGTGTGTGTGTGTACAGCACTGCATGTCAAGACTGTGGCATTGTGCCATTCATACCACCGAATACTTAATATGTTTTGCCCGAAATCAATGTTTGATCATGGAGCGAAAGGGGGGGAGGATTTGATTTTAGGGGGCAGCGATTACCACCAAGGGGTTAAAGGCCCAAAGTGCCAAAGATTGGGCCCTCAGCGTGAGCAGAAATTGTACATTGAACTGCCGATGCTGGGCATCGATGATATCGATGATAAACCCTAAACCGCCCCTAAGTATACATGCGATGCGGTCTCGGACTAGGCTGGGGCTCAGCTCTGGTTCCATGGGCCAGGCAGTGCACAAAACAACAATCGTCGGCACTGTGCTCTATGGGTGCAAATTTCAACTCGGAGTCAATCAATGACTTCAGCCCACATCCAAGTTTAACTTGGAAGTGGCTGGTTTCATATAGCAAAAAAAGACCTTGGGAGTGTTGGGAGCTCCGACAATGCAAGCTCTGCAACAACTACTTCTCATCACAGCAAAGAGTTTCTACGAATAGCATTCAAGTACGATGCACATCTGAGCCTAGTACCTTCGGCACACGACTTGGCAAGACAGCCGTTCTGCTGCAATACCACTTAAAAAGCTGCACTGCAGTATTCCTCAGGGTCTTCGCTCGGGAAGCTCCAGGCCTGACCAGGACATCAGAAATGAGGTTTAGGGTGTAGGGTTTGGGGTTTACGGTTGAAGGTGGAAGCCTATAGGCCTTTTCCTTCGAAGTTGGAACTTCGTGCAAAAGACAAAACATCCCATGACATCATGCAGGCCTACCCTTAACCCTAAACCCCAAACCCCCCTTTCCTGGGCTCAAGTGCCTGCTCAAGATTCTGAAAATGGTTCAGCTCGTGGCCCTCGGAGTCCTCAGCGTCTTGTACGATCACCTTGATATCGTCCTTCTCATCCATCAAGGCCCCAGCAACAGAATCCTGATACTTGGCAAGGATGGCTTGACGCCATGTGACATGCCAAATCATGCCACGTATACTTATACCGCTTGACGGAAGGCGTCGGAGTCTCAGGCTTACTGCTGAAATCCTAAAGATCCAAAAAAAGACCCTCTAGATTTGAAGGTCTTGAGGTTGCGTTGAAGACACCACTCCTTGTACCTGTGCATGCGTCCGGCAATCTCTATCACTTGCCTCCGCTGCATTCCTTCGGATGCTAAAGGCGAAAATGGCAAGGCCAACACGTTGAACATGTTCTTGATGGCAGCACGGAGCAGGTCTGTGCCCTCTGTGCCCTGGTCGTCGGCATTTTCTCTCTTCGACCCTGGGTGGCTTAAAAACTCAAAGTTTGTGTCAGCAACGACAGGCACAAGTTCCAAGCTCCGATCGAGTGACGAAGCACCCCGAGCACAAGCACTGAGGAGGATCCTCGCAAACTCCGGATCACGGAAGATGCCTTTGAACAGCAAAACTACGAGGTAATAGGCCCATGGTCTCCAACGGATCAGGTGGTCTACCCCTTGCACGACAGCGCACTCAACATGAAGGTGAGCTTGTAGCAGAAGCTGCATGACCTCACAGGCAGACAGGACCTCTGCATCCGCCACGCAGCTTGTGATGAGTATCCGAGCTTTCTCAGGAGCCCGGGGCTCTTTGCTGGAAGGAAGGCAATCCCCTTTCCAGGAATTGAAGCCACACAAGCGCAGCATGTCCACAACCGCCTCATCACGGTCTGCAAGCAAACCGAATCGAGGCATTTCGACTGAAGATAGCTCATGCTGCACCCACACATATGCTGACAGCACATCACCAAGCTCCACCCCATAGTTAGCAAGAGCTTGCTTCTGCTGAGCGGTCCAATAGTCTGGTATGAGTTTAAGCTCCTCGTCGGACAGCGGCTGGAAGCCATCACAAAAGAGAGGCACGGTGGTGATACCGTTCTTCCACGCCGCCGTAATCTCACCGGCCTGCTATGCTATCTTTGCATGAAACTTCTTCATCACACCACTGAAAACACTGAAAATCCCAAACAGGAAAAGCTGTATAGTGGTTTTACCTTGCTTGGGTGTGCTCCAGTCAGCCGGGACAAAAGAAGAAAAAGAGGGACCAAGCGCTGGAAAGCAGCGCACCAAACCCTCTTGAGCAGCTCTGGCGTGAGCACGACCACAACACTCTTGGATGATGTGCGGACGATGTCGAAGAGTAGATCGAGATTCTCCAAATCATCGCAATCCAAAAACCTAACTGCTTGGAGCTTTTTTTGCTTCTATGCTCTTCAGGACGTGCTTCGAATTCGGAGAGTACTTTCAAAGGTGTGCAGTATATATATCTCAGAGGGACATTACGTGTGCAACTTCCGCTCAAGGTCTAAAACAAACGCCTGCGTGACCTATGTGCACCTAGTTGCTCAACCGAACCCAAATCGCGAAACACTAAAGATTTGAGAATCGCACCACACATGTACAGCTCTCCATAGCTTCTTAATCGTACCTTCAACCTTCATATCGCAGAATCGCCTGCCTCGCGCTCGCTTGAACCAAAGCCTATAGCTGATCACTCCGCCACATTTCTGCCTGACGCAGATCCTGTTTCACGCCCTGACCACTCCACATATGACCAGTTTCCCCAGGACTCTTTCCAAGGCTACCTGTCAACTTGTTGCCAGCTTTGAGCCATAAGTAGAGCAGTCTAAGCGGAGATTTAGAAAGATTTGCACGCACATAAAACAGCAAAGACTTGGCTATCGACTCTGTCCAGTTATGGGTTGATGGAGCGCGCCTGGTATGGATGTTGAAAGCGAGCTTAACATGAGCCAGTGCGTTGCCAAGCATGAGTTTAGCCGAACTAAGGCAAGAACACATGAATGGAAGTGTGCCGGGCAATCAAGATCTTCATCAATCGGCACAGGCTGCCCCCGCCGCCCTTGTGGTGGCAAAGGAAAATTCCATACAGCTTCGTTCGTCGTATGTGTTTGAGGGCTGCCCTCGCGAGGCCGACCAGCACCACGACAAAAATACCTAGCAGCGGTACACAAACCAACCAACCAAGCAATGCAGTTGAGCCTTCCACGTTTATCAGCAAGAGAGGGGCGGCAGCCAGCAGAAGCACAATCAAGAAGCCATTCAGAAAAATCTCTATCAAGTTGGCCGGCACAGTGCGCCATGGAAAGGTATGTGCCTGCAGAAAGCCGATGACAAGCAAGAGAGCGCCCATTAGTGGCAACTGGAACTCTCTGGCTCCAACGAGAAAGATAGGCAGCAAAGCCACCAGGCCATTGCGATACAGAAGGAGCAAGCCATAGTAGTAGCTCTCGGGCTTAAACCGGTGGAATAGGAAATGATATCTGTTCACGAAGCGAAGCATTCTTCCACTGGCCACACGCGATGGGTATGTGATGATGACATAGGTCGCCCACACTAGAACTGCCACGGGCTGTGTCAGAATCCCTGCCACGGCAAGCCCGGAGAGGGCAGCATGCTCTTCTGACTGGAAACAAAGGATGCCTGGGTGCGTCAGCATAGAGCTACTGCCATCTGGATTGGACACACACTGGAAGGGAGTCAGGGTGCTGCGCGTGATGCTCAAGAAAAAGGCAAAAACCAAAAGCCCACATTGGTTCAGCACAATGTTGAAGGGCTGATGGTACCCAAGGATCTTCCACATCAGCCATCTCAATAGAAGCAAGCCGCAAAGTGCTGGGCATGCCAACAGCTGACTAGCGAAATGCAGTGATGGGCTGTCCACTACAAAGAGGCATGTGGCTCGGACTAAGTGTAAATCGAAGGTCAAAAGCCTGGTAAGATTCATCAAGGTCCTTGCAGGCTCCTGCCAGTCGATTGATAGCTCCCGGATGGCTGCCAAGGTTTGTACAGCCATGACAAGCTGACTAGCAACTGCAGCTGCTGTCAACGTATTTAAGCTGACTTTGAGCGAATAGATTCCTGATTTGGTGAGCTGATACAACAGGATCAGGGTTACGACCATCGTGAAGATTGCTGGTAGCAAGTCTGCTCGCGCACAGGGCTGGCACTGACCTCCTTGCGTGCCCTCGGAGAAGTCGGCGTAGTGGCTGACCTTGCAATTGTTGCAGGCTTGGCCCTCACGGCCATCTGCGCAAGTGCCCAGAGGTCCCCCCGGACATTCGTACTGGTCCCGGCAGCGGAGGACCGAAAAGTGACACTGCCTGGAACTGGAGGGTTGAGGCGTCCAAAAGCCTCTCTGCTGTTGAGGTGCATCTAGGCCTGCCAGACAGTAGAGGCCCTCAGGACATGGTACACAACCATCTTCTCCATCTTCCCCACACATGAAAAAGCCTTCGGGGCAGTGGCAAGCCGACTCATCGGAAGCGCCGCTTGCACCTGTGGTTTGCTGTTTGCCACAGAGCAGGCACTCGATGCCCTGTTGGAATGGCATGTAGCTGCCGCGTGGACAAATGCTACAAGTCTCCATCCCTTCGGCCGATGCCACAAAGCCGGGTTGACAAGGAAAGCAGCCTACGGAGCCGCTGTCGGGGGCAAAGGTGCCTTGAGCACAGGGGGTACAGTTCGTCATGCCCACCTCATCTGTAAACGTTCCCCTTGGACATTGGATGGACAAAGCACTTACCCCTCCTGAGCACATCTTGCCCTTTGGACATAGCTTGCACTGGTTGGACAGCTCGTCCTGGTAGAAGCCGGCATCACAAGAATAGAGAATCGTCGGAGGCATGCTCTGGCTGGAGCCATCCATCCACGTCAGATCTCTGTGGATTGTAAAATTCAGGGTTGCAGCACTGAAGAAGCCTGCAACGACGAATTGGGGCTGTCCTTGGCCATCGACCTGCAAGTTCAAGAGCTCGTATGGACCTAAGCGATCACCATTCTCATCAAAACTAACCTCACCGGAAACCCCAGTGAACTGCGTCCGGCGCAGCTCTTCTAGGAGCACAGGGCCCCGAATCGCACTGGCTGGTGTTCCGGCTGCCAGGAGCATGTTGATGGCGACAATGAAAGCATAGCATGCATCGAAGGAGAATGCAAAATATGCGTGGAGGCGATTGCCTGCTGAAGCTTCATCGCTGGTCGCGTTCAGGAGAGCATAGACATCCACATCGCGCATTGGCACCGACATCTTGTCCAGCCCGTAAAGGTCTCTGGCTTCTGTCCCAATGATATCCTGGGGCTGCAGCCTAGACCAAAGCCGCACGAAGTCCGGAAATTTCTGCCCTTCGCCCTGAGCTCGGAACACCATGATCCCGACAGGCCTTCTCAAGGTTACAACGTCGTCGTAAATGGTGTCTGCCCCCAATATCTGCCAACCCGGGCCCAACATCCCCTCCTCCTCCAGAATTTCTAAGGTTGGAAGGGCCATGGAGAAATCCAGCGAGAGGATGATGAAGCGCGAGCCGATCTGCCGCGCTGCTTTCACAGCCGCGCGTGCTTCTTCCTTGACGTACACCTGCGGCATGTAGCGGAGTGCTTGGCCCTGCACGCGGTCTACTTGCCCGTTGATCCGTGCTATCTCCCGGACTGCATCGTAGAGGCCCTGCCCGTAGGCACCTGTTGTATACAAGCAGGTTGCCAATCGAACGTCGAACTGCAAAAGCCACCTCCAAAAGGCCACCGACGTCATCTTGTCTGGTGGGGCAGTTCGAAGGAAGAAGGGGTACAAGTCCTTATTGGACAACTGTGTGCTTGTAGCAGAGTAGGATACTTGAGGAATCTGCTGTGCTGCAGCCACTGTGGCGACGGGCATCGTGACAGAGGAATAGGTGGTACCAATCAGTCCAATGACAGGCTCCCCACCGTCAAGACCCCAGATTAAGTCTAAAGCAGATGCTATGGCCGTTTGCGGCTTGCTCTCTGTACTAGCGACGCGCAGGGAGATACTCGCGTTTGGCTGTGGTGTCACAGGCATGGAGATGATCGGTGGGCCCAGCCGCGCTGCCAAAGAAACATCCCAATGCTTTTGATAGTCCAGGTGGGCAGCAATGATGGCCACCAGAAGAGCTGGCCCACCACCAGCATGTGGTGACCAGGGACCAAGCACGCCCAAAGGAAATCCTGCTGTGTGGTTTGAAAGCAAGGGCACGGGAAGCACCCACAGCACGAGGAAGCATGAAAAAGGCATTAGGCAGAGGCAAGTCATCATAGATACAGACCCCTGCGCGTCGCGCAAATTAACTGAGCTTCGAGCCAAATGCGACGCCGGAGCGCTATACCGTGCTCAGTCTGTGCAAGTGCTATCAACTGGAGTGATGAGGCGGCTGCCTCAGAAGTGTCCGCGTTCTGTGTGCGTTCTGCATGGGCCACTAACAAAAAACACCGGTCGTCACACCTGCAATATGAAGCTGCACAGCTCAACAATTCTCGACCAGCCTTGCAGCTGCAGAATGCCTTCGGATCCTTCAACAGCATGCAACAGCTCATAGATTGCAAGACCCAGTCTGAAGCTAGTAATATACATGTACACAATTACATTGGTATGTTCTGCCTCGGACAAAAAGCACAGCCACGCTGCCCATTTCGCCCAAAGACAAATTTTGACAAGGTGCAAGATGACGGTACCCTGGCTCTTCGTGGAGTGGGTTGTGAATGCGTCCACGAGCATCTTGCACAGAGTGACCACCTGCAGTTTGCTGTCAACAAGTGCAAACACATTCAGACAAAGTCATCAAATGATCTGATACGACCCGTTTGCTCACGATTAGCTGCATATCTGTGCTGAGTCTGGCTGCATGATATTGTGCGGAACCTTCAGCGGCCGCGTCTTGGCGTGTAGTGCATCTCGCACCACGGCATTCACAACCTTAAGAGGACAGCCGTTTCCAGGCCGACAGATGCTGCAGCACAGCTTCTTGCCAAGCGACGTTGGGCCCCAAGTAGTGTGCAGGGAAGACCAAGCGCAGGACTGGGAGCCATGCCTTCGGCAAAGAACCGAACTTTGCCAGGCAATAACGTGAAGAAGGCATCCACAGGCAGAGGTCCACTCTACCAATACTCTTTCCACAGGGCTCCTGGCGCTGACTGCAGCAAAAATGCAAGAAGCTCTCATGTCGCCCCAGCTGCCAGGAGCATACGCCGGATGATTTCTCGATCAGTGACCTCAACCGAGCAGGAGTCTTTAACGGCTGCGGCATATCAATGATAGTCTTTGCTGCTGCTGCTGCGGCTACCGCACTTATTTCCAACACATTTTGACTTGTCATAT